TATAGAGGTACCAGTAATAAGTCTTTCGTCTTCTACCGTTTCACTATAATATGGTCACCGGTTTTCCTTTCTACCTACCCATTAACATTGAATATACAGATTATTGAATGACTTTCATGTGTGATGGTTATCATATCCAACTTAACTATAACCTTGAATTCTGATCGTGTTTACAACAGTGGTATCATATATGATTGTAAACCAGGTCAAAAGTTAAGCATAATACAGATTACTGAATAAAGAATATTATTTGAGATTATAAATTTATGTATATCAACCACACGAAGATTTTTCAGAATAACAGTGTTTAAAGTTCGAATCAACTTGGAATTCAGTTCAAAGTAAATAAAAAAATATATAATAAAACGATAAGACCGTGATAATGAACATAGGTAAGATTGAAAGGCTACACGGAAGGTCAAAACAACAATAAAAATCAGTAGAGTAAAATGGAGTGGGAGGGTAAGATAATAGAATTTACCAAATAAAGTTTAGCGCAATGACAAACTGTTTTTGAACAATTAAAAGTACTTTAAAATTTTGAATCAATCAGGCTTCCATAGAGAAATGTTGGCATACAACTGTAAACCTTATAGATGGGTTTAAAAGATTCATAGACATCAATTGTATGACCTACTTCAAAAGTGTAATTTGTGATTGTGAAGGTTGAACATTCATTTCAAGTATCCACAGCTACTTATGAATATATATATATATATATATATATATATAATTTCCTTGGGTTTTCAGTGGGACCTAGGACTTCAGCAGTTCATACACATCTTGTCCCGTTCTCTGTAGTTCTCTTCAACTGGCTCCATCATTGCCTATAAGCCCTCATCTTTTCCTCGCACGGTCTCTTCCTTATTACCCTTGATGTTCCCCTCATCATTTCCCATTCCAGTTCCACCCGGCAACCTGGCGTGCGATGTCGTTTGATCGTTCCCTCCATTTTTTTCGACATATATAAAGACCGATGGATTTTTTGTTGGTTCTTTATCAGAGTTTCCCCTTCCTGATTCCTCCCTGAACTAAGACAACTACTGATAAACGTCTGCAGCCTGTTGAATATGCTTTCCGTGACGCGCCAAGTTTCTAAGCTAATATAGACGAATCGACTTAACATTTGAGCTGCAAATCTGATTTTCGTTCTTTTTACTGAGTGCAAAAGATTTCCAAAGTGATTTCAGAAGGATTAAAGTCCCTCTTACTTTTCATGTCCTGTCTTTGCCATCCTCATTGGCGCCGCCTGTATCTGTATCGATGCCCGCTAGATAAGTGAATGAAGTAACCTCTTTCAATTTTCTCCCGTCAGTAGTGATTGATACTTATTGTTGTTGCTTGCTGGCTATCTTCATCAGATCTGTCTTCTCGATGTTCACTTTTAATTCAGTCTTTGTTGCCTACTTCTTCTCTCAGTTTTTTGGTTTTCCCATGTAGGTCTTCGAGTTTATGTGACATGAGACATAAATCACCTGTGAAGGATAGATCTTCTAGAATCGTCTTACTGGTTCACCCTATTCCTGTCTTCTTGCTCTCAGTAATCTGCCACATGATCTTATTATTATTACTGTTCCCTCGGGTTCCTAGTGGAACATGGGGCTTCTACTGCACGTCTCCACTTGCTTCTGTCTTTTGCTGTACTTTTCACCTGCATTCATGTTAGTCCATACTCTTTCAGCTTCTCTTCACACGATCTCCTCCATGTCACCCTTGCACTAACGTCCCACTCCCCACTTCCCTTTCGGGTTTCACTCGAGCGACGGCCTGACGCGCGCGCGATATCACCAACCGGCCTCATCAGAGAGTGTCCAATCCATCTCCAATTTCTCCTGCATATTTGTTGGTTGGCGATTGGTCCTTGTCTTGTTTGTTCCCATCCATAGTTTCTTGTTGGTGATTCTTTCCGGCCCGGCCATCTGATCTTCAGTATAGGTTCAGCGAAGACAGTTGTTGATTGATAAAGGTCTTCAATATCCTGTTGGAAATATTCTTTGTGACCCACCCGCCAAGTTTCTGATCCGTATAGAAGAAGTGACGGACTTGACGTTGTTTGTATTGAAAATCCGAATTTTGTTGTTGATTCCCGCTGAGTGACGAAGATTTCCAGATTGGTTTCATTTGGTTGATGAATGTGTTTCTCGCCTGGCTTCCCGATTCTCGCTCGATTTGTCATCCTCGTCCGTTCCGACTTCCTGTAGTTGATGCCTGTAGTTGATTCCCTAGATGCCACATGATCTAGTCTTTAACATTTAGGAATACCATCGGCGATATCAGTCAGCCTTGTCTTACCATCTGCCCGACTTCAAAGACTTCACTGAGTTTTCCACTGTAAATCACTTGACATGTGATATGTTTGCATAGCTGTTAAATGAGGTTGCTAAAGATTTAGAACACTTCATAGCGTTAAAATAGTTTCCAAATTATTTCACAGCCAACGCTGTAGAAGGCCTTTCCAAAGTCGATACATGCACAGAATTGAACATATATATGATAAGATAATGTGAGCTAAAACGATGTGTACATACATCGTAGAAGTGTGAAATCAAAAGGCTTCACGTATACAACGCTTAGAAATTAGTCGATTGCAAAGCAAGTCAAGGTATTGACAAAGATTGTATATCTTTTATGTGTATGTCTGTGTTTCGGGCTTACCGAAAATTTGTATTTAACTTAGAATTCTGTTCTCTCACTATAGAAAATAAAATATTCGTTGTAATGTGATCATATTGTGAGTTACATGCTTTTGTTATTAGAAATAAACACCCATTTAGTCATTTAAACAAGCATGTGATACGAGTTGAATGTCGATCAAGTAGTTAAAATGAGTTTTGATAAAATTGGAGGCATTTAATGTTATTTCACTTTGTCAGATCTCATGAATAATAGTTTTTGTATACAACAGAATGCATCAGCAATAATTAATAAATGGCAAGCTTATGTATCTGTATAATTTCCAACCAGAAGTATAGCACATATATACATGTTTGTGTCTAGGTGTTACGCTACTTGACAAGGAGAGTCTTAAGATGACTAAACTGTTGAATCGTATTTTTTAATGTACAGTGTAGATATGATAGAGAAGATTTGTAGCTCAGGTGGATGATTTTGATGTGGTTTTGTATATGAGCAAAGGCGATTGTTGAATCAGTCTAATAATAATAAGTGTTTTTCTTTTATGGGTTTCTATTGATTATTTACCTAGTGAGATTAAATTTGAGCGAAAAGCTGCAAAGTAGCTAGCTACATGAACATGTGACAGCATCGGAGTTATTGCTGTCTATTATTATTAGTTAGTTGTGCAAGCAAAAGTAAATTCTATCTGATCGATAGGATTGATAAAACTAAACATACTGGCTATCACATAGACGCCATTATAAAGTGTTTTTCTTAATTTTCAAAGGGTTGGTTTTTCTTACTACTGACATATTTCATGCCTCTATATTTGAATTCATCTAAATTTTGTAATAATTTTCATCCTTTCATTCAGTTACCATTCCAAAGTTGTCTTTGGTAGTGACAAGGAACAATCGCTGTATTCCTTGATATTAAGGTTGCCTTCGATTGATAGGACAGAGCTTCCCTTGGAGCTTTCTGTTAAAGATAGGTGTTCCTGAGAAGTTTGTTAGCATCCCGAAACTTCTACACAAAACCATTGGTAAAGTAAGAATGTTCAACCAGCTATCATTACTGTTCTGCAACAATAGTGAGGTCACACCGGATTGCTCAGACTCACCATTTTTCTCTTATCTTGCTATCGATAACGTTCTACAGACATTTCTGATGACTGAGTGTGGTAGTTGTGTAGATATGTTGTCTAGAGAAAGAATTTTCAACCTGAAGCATACAAATAATATAGTCTTACTAAGCGATAGCATACAGGTCGCCCAAATCTCACTTAATCGCTTGATGTGTTTTGTGCTGTCTAAGTGCAAGTGTTGTTTTAAGAATGGCAAAACTGTTTACCTGCACTCATCTTCTGACGTGTATCGTTAAAAGTAGTCGATAAGTTGGCGTATCTAGGCAGTTGCATGAGTACTGGAAGAGGTATGACTGTCGAGACCTCTCACTGCATAGTGGAAGTCAGAACGAGATACGCCAACCAGGAACACTGTCGTAATGTTAGTCTGACTATCATTGGTGATGTTTTCAGTGCTACTGTACACGCAGTCCTCTTCTACATCCATGAAACCTGGCTTCTCTAATCTGACGATATGCGGCGACTCTGTCTGTTCGATCATCTCTGCCTTCGTAGAGTTCCTACTATCTGGTGGTATTATCATGTTCGTTGTTCTGAGGTGCGGCAACATGTGTCTATGCACAGTGGCGATCGTCTAATTAACTGTCATGTTAGAATATCAGTTTCGGTGGTTTGTACATATGCCAAAAATGCCATCCCCGAGTCTTACATGTCGTTCACATTTTGCTGGTTCTCGGATTGGTTGAGAAAGGCGGAGAGAGGTGGTCAGTCTTTGACGAAATGCTTTGGAATCAAGGATATTTTTGTGAGGTTAGCATATCTTGGGGCATCATGATTCACTTTGTGGATTTCGACAAACAATCCAAATTAGTGGCTCAAGATCTTATCATAAATGACTGAGAATTGTAATGAATGGTAAACAAGCTGCAGTTAACTCCCTTCTTTCCTTTCTCACAGTAACATGAAAAAAATGAGCCATCATCTGAATGCTCTTGATTAGTGCGCTTACTTGCTTTCTGGAGGTTGTCCTTCATTCGCTGTATTTTCACTTTCCTTATATTGTTGTTTTATTATTTATGTGTGACATGTTTTCGTGGCCATATAGAACAAAGCTTGTGCTTAAATATATAAACGGATTATCACTGACACCGCATTAGTCTAGTGTTTACTGTTTGAATACTGGTTTTCTTTTGAAATCTTACGAATGTCTCCATAATCTTTGAATTTTCATTTTCACAGTTGCTGTTAGCCTAATCTACATTACATTTTATATTTCTCCTACTTTCATATCGGTTTATAGACCCGATCACTGGATTAATTGCCCGTCTGATGTATGATGGAGATAATATAAGAAAATGGAAACCAGTTGACAGAGTAAGTTTTTTCCGTTTTTTATTTAACTCGATATTGAATGATATCAGTATTTTTCTTCTCTTATTATAAGTAAAAGGTAATGATGGGACTCGAACCAACAGCTTCAAACATTTTTATTTTTTCAGTGTATCTTGTACAATGAGAGTTACTTTGATACCTTTTTCAAACAATTCCTAGTCTTCAAGCAGTTAGGCTACTGTGAACACATGAATTCAACTAAAAAGAAGAGTTCTGTTATATGTTGTATTATAATATATCACACGAAAATTAGTTTTATCTGGAGCTAATAGAATAAGCAACAAAATTCTAAAATATCCCACCATATATTATGTCCAGGAAACTTTTACAAGAGAATAAATATAAAGTACTTCCTTTGATTGGACACTAGTAACTAGTGTGATGTGTCTAGTCCTTTGTTTGGTGCAGACTGAATTCGATCAGTCAGGTTTTGCAATTTGGGCACCATTCTAGATAGCTCGCCATCACGTTGCCCATTGATTAGATGGTTTGAGGCAATCGGCAAGAAGCTTCCCGACCTAGGTTTCGTGATAGCTGGCACGCACCAGTTAGCAAGGCGTATTTGGAACCGTGAAGGCACTCATGTCCCTTCTGAGATTCGAACCCGCGTCACCCAGTGCGGTAGTCAGAGGTGTTACCACTAAGTCACTCCTGATCGCGATTGAGCTGCTGTAGGACTGTATTGGATACTCTGATTGGACACTAACTGGTATAATGTATCCATCTTATATCAACAATTCAAAGTGCACCGTGGTGGCGAGCCACCTAGAATGGTGGACCCGTTGCAAAATCTGACTGATAGAATTCACTCTGCACCAAACAAAGAACTAGACACATTGCACTAGCTCCTACTGTCCAATCAAAGTACCCAATAGAGTCCTACAGGAGTTCAGTCGCAAGCAGATGTAGCTCAGTAGACACACCTCTGACTGTAGCACTGGATGACACGGGTTCGAATCTCAGAAGGAACATGAACTCTTTCAAGGTTGCAGATACACCTTGCTACCTGGTGAGTGCCTACCAGCACGAAACCTAGGTGCAAGGCTTCCTGTGGATTTCCTCCAACTATCTAACATCATCAAAGGAGTACTTCCGCTATCCAGTCGTGACACGCAGACTACAAAAAATCAAAGTGGAACAAATCAGTTGTCGAAAAACTGTGTTTAGACGTTTAATCCATGGATTTTTCTAACTCTCCTGTACTTAAGTAATATTCACATGGCTTAATGCGCATAAAGTATTTAAGTTATAGACGATTTTCAGAAACCCTTTAACCAGCCTGTCAGTTTAATGACTCCTCTAATAGGTATTTTGGTATAGTCGTACACTATGTATTCTAGGTCTTTTTGTGATTGAGTAGCTTGGACTGACAACCATACTCTTTGTAATATTGTGATTAAGTTTATGACATTTTTATTAAGGAATATCAGTCTTCAGTTGAAAGATTGAATGATGAAGCTCTTAAGGCTGTACATCAAGGTGATATGACTATGAACAATAAAATCTGTTCGAAATGTTGTCACTATATAAATAATACTGTATCACTGTATGCTATTATATCAAATAAAATTATTACTTTAAGAATACACAGTTTGAGTCTAAGTCATTAAGCTGATATTATTTAAAATTAAGTAAAATGTTCCAGCTTCACATGCTAATCGCGGTCACTTCATGTGATTGCTGACCATCAGGCCTATGCCAATTTATCAAAAGTCGACAAACAGTTAGTTTGCTGAAGGAACGTGAACTAACTGTTTAAAAATTATTCTGTCCTTTCAACCTATTCACTTCATAACATTTGCGTTAAGTGATATATATATATATATATATATATTCTTACGTTAACTCTATCAGATACCACACAACTGCATGTTCATATGTATATACGTATGTGTTTTTGTTAGATAGTTTGAAACAATCGGCAGAAATCTGTGCTTAACTAGGTCTAGTTCTTGTTGGCACTCATCTGTAAGATTTATCTGCAATATTGAATGGTTTCATTTCCCTTCTGAGATTCGAACCTACGAGTTACTTACCTCGGGACTCGACATCTGCACAGTTACGCACTTGCTGAATTCCCGCGGTAGGGCGTGAATAACTGCGAGAAATTGTGAACGTTGATCGGTTATGCCATGCTCACAAAAATCAGACTTAGCTATCTGAAACCATGTTTCAGCATTATCTGGCCAATATGGTACGAGCTGAATGGTTTCGGCAGTTGAGCGAATACGAAGGACTTTTTGACTAGGATCACTCATTACGAAAAGCATGCCGTTTGAAATAGAGTATTTTTTATTGCAGCTTGATTCCACACCGTAATTTTGGTACAGGTATGGAATTTCCAGCGTGTGATATCGGTAGCCCAAATTTTTCAGGCCAACCATAGATATCAGGTATGCGTCGGCCGGGGATCGAACCCCGGACCATGTGCATGGTCAGCGAGAGTCCTAGCCACTGTGCCACCAACTCACAACTACAAGAACAAATACAAAAAGGAACGAACTCACCGGGTTTATCTGTGTATTTATCAAAGATAAAGTTCGCGGTTGGGCTCACCAGTTTAGAGACTGACGGCATAGACGTTCGCAAATTGTACGGAATATACCAACGCAAGATCTTATACCAACAACTTCTATGGTATTCGTTTCTCGTGGACCAAAGGCAAAGCAAAAGACCACGATTTATCGTCCAAATTACGAGATATATTTCGGAACCAAATCGCGGACTGAAGCGGAAGCTAAGCTGGCTAGTAATCGTGCACGAAAGTGACACGGCGGAGTACCCAATGGTGAGGATGCTTGACTTGAAGCCTTCAGCTAAAAAAGTTGACTTAAACACTAAGGGTCAATAATTTTGGGGAATTATTTACCTCTATATTATAGTGTATACTTTCATTGTACACTGGGTGGTAACTAATTTAATGCGTCTAGTACTTCTTTTGGTTCAGACCATATACTATCAGCCAAAAGACTAGATATATGACGTTAGTTACTACGTTATATATATATATATCCTCACTTTATTCGTCAAACCTATTAGACTGAGACTTGAAATTATGACACATACAATTCTCTCCACAGATCATTTTTTCGATTTTACTATTTTAAAAAAAATACAAATAAAACGATAATTTTTCTCACCCTTGATCTGAGATCTCACAGCTGTGCAGTTGTGTTGTTAGTTTACTTTGTAGAACACTTATATTGGTTGTTCGTTAGACTTTGGAATAAGCAACGATAATCCTTTAGCTTACTGTGTAAAGGTTGTTTCAGAGACTTTTTTGTTTTTTTATACGAATATTGATGATATCTGCTGATGTGCAAAAAAAAGTGTAGTCATATCAATGCCTAGATAAAAGTTATTCCTATGCTATAAATAAGTATAATCAAAATTTTGTTTTCGTGATTGGCAGTTTTTCGGTGAAAATACTAGCCTACAATTTTTTCATACTAAGACTATGAAAATTATGCTTTTTGTCATTTGGTGGTGAGATTTTCGATGCACAATTTTCAACTTTTTTTCAATTCAGTTTTTTTTCTTGTTCTATTCAGCTGATGATTGATTCACACTTCGAGTATTTGATGAATGCTCTTTTGTTTCAACACTACACTTGAATTGCACAATCATCATATATGAACTGTGAATGTTCTTTGAGGTTCAGGAAATTAGGCAGTTCGACTAATTCATTGAATTCAGGTTGGATTGCATGATAAAGTGAAATCTGTTAGAAAACTACAAAAAAACCAAGGGAGTACTAGATATTTGTTTCTTTCGAGTTTGGAATTCTTCAGCAAAGTTAACTCATGATCCCACAGGGGATCGAACCCACCACGTTCAGCTAGCGAGACAACAACGCTACCTTAAAGATACTGAAACGCAATCCGATATCCTGTAAATTCTAATTTATATCAGTTTGCGCTGCTAATAATTATTAAATTAACAATTATCATCGTGTAATTGTGCTTTATGCTGGTTGGCTGAGTTAGTGCAGAAGATTTCCAAACGCATTTCAGGTTGAAGAAGGTGTATCCCGTCCTATTCTGATTCTGACTGGCTTGGACAACTTCATCCCTTCCGACTGCCTGTGGCTGAAACGATGTTTCCTGTCAAATCTCTCCGGCTGATGGTGATTGGTGCTGGTTGCAGTTGTTGCTGCTATTGTTCGTTTGGTCATCTTCGTCTTCTCTGTGTCCACCGGGTGTCCTGTCTTCGCTGCCAGCCTCTTCAGCGAGTGTGTTGGTCTCAATCTGCCTACAAGTCTTCGAGTTTCTGTGGCATTAAACATAAGTCATCTGCGAAGTCTAGGTCTTCCAGGGTCTTTTTATCGGTCAGTGCAGCATATTCCTGTCTTCTCACTCCCCAAGTACGGTGTTCCGCATAATCCAGTCTACCACAATCAGGAATATCATCAGTGATAGCAGATAAGCAGCCAACATGTCTTACTCCTGTATCCACTTCAAGAGAAGCATTCGCTGAGTCGGTTTTCCGTTGTGGATTACCTGACACGTGGCATTGTCATATAGCCAAGTTGTAGAATAAGGTTGATAAAGACCCGGGGTACTGTATGCCGTAGTGTTGAGGCATTTTCCAAATTACTCCACGGTCAACGCTGTCTGTCTGAGGCTTTCTCGAAGTCAATGAAGTTAAGGCAGAATGAGGTTTGACTGACATTCTCTGCTTTGTTCTGTGATAGTGATGATGTGTAGAGTTTCAATTCGATCAGAACGTGATGAATTACCTTTTCTGAATCCAGCTTGTTCCGGCTGGTGGTGTTCTGGCTTCAGTGCATCTTTGATCCTCTCCAGAATAATGCGACTTAGTACTTTGCTTGGGCGTTGACAAGAGCATTATTCCACGCTAGTTCTTGCAGAATGAGGCGTAAGTCGTCCTTCTTTGACAGTGATGCTTCCTAGATAAGTGAAGGAAGTAACCTCTTTCTAATCTTTCCTGTTGATGGTGACTGGCGCTAGCTAGTTGTTGTTGTTGTTGCTGTTGGTTGGTTATCTCCATCATCCCCGTCTTCTCTGTGTTCACCTGCAGTCATGTCTTTTCTGCCAGCCTTTTCACCCAGTTTGTTGGTTTCCACCTGCAAGTCTTCCAGTTTGATTAAATTAACTAACTGATGAGAATGTGATGGTTTTTATTATGTACCGATTTATATTCTCTTCTACGATAATATGTGAAGTAACAAAATGTAAATATAAGATTTATGGGAATTAAAAATCACTTTGAATTTTCTTTATCAGTTCATATTTGAACACTTGATATGTTTTTCGCCCTAGCAATTCTTTTACACTATGACGTTCTACGACTATTGCTTTTATACACATACAGTTATTATTTCTAGTGCTGTTGTCGACATCCCAATGTAAACTAAAACATGAGTTACTTGTAGTGAGTAAAATCAGCCCCACTATTGTTCCTTCTGTCCATTCATCACCTTTACTTAGTGATACCTTCAAAGAATGAAATATCTTTCCAACTCATAGAGATGAGGTTGTTACTATTATTTGATTATACGTGTGACCCAGTGTCATTTTAATAAATGACTGATGATTTCCACTCCAGTTGTAAACATTATAAGTCACTGGGAAATAAATTCACTTATTCAAAGAACCTCAGACAAAAAACATACCCATTACAGATTTTTACTGTCGACTGGCGTCCACTCAAATTACCATAGTTATTATCTTTATCACATATCAAAGCTTTATAGTTTCTTTTGACCTTTTTTAATAAAAGCTGTCGGAAGTTATTCACACTTCTTTTAGCCATGGGTATAGCATACTAAAAGCATCAGATGTACGTGAAAGGTTTAACTCGCTTACATTAATTATTTTAAGCAACCCTATGTTATGTTATAATGTGAGGGCATTTCATTTAAGAAATGAAGTCGGTCAAGGTCAAATTAATTCATTACACTAATAAGCTAATGCAAGGACGGTAAGGTCATACTGGAACGAGAACATGATTACACATTGATGTAGATATTAAGAAGGAAGGCGGTAACGATTACTGAATAGACACTGTATAGTTGTAGCTTCAATATATGTAAACGCATACAATTGATAACTTCTTTAAAAACAATCTGTCAGTTGAAATTAGTTTGTGTGAGACATATCTATTCTACATGTTACTAACTCATGCAAATATGTCCTACTATGCTAATTAGCATACTTAAGCATATTCCATCATGAAAATAGCTTAATATGATAAATAGCCATATAATGAATGGTCGTGTGAAGAGGAGATAAAAGCATGTGAGCAGATGTGGAGCCAAGTGGAAACGTTAGTGGAGAGCCGAACGCAATGGAGACGTGCGGCTGAAGCCCTATGTTCCTTTCGGAACTAAAGGAAGCAATAATAATAATAATGAGCGGGTTGAATGAACCTAGAGAACAGTGATGAAACAACAACGGGGATGGAGGGACAACGAAGAACAATTTAGGCAAAAGACATGATAGAAGAAACAACAAGTACTGAAGGCTTTTCCGAGGAAGTCACTACATATGTTGCATCCTTCTGTTTATCAGAAGCATATCCCATACTAGGGTGGGATAAAAGCAATTGCAAGGCGTTTTCATGCAGAGTATAGCAAACAGCACAATGCATATTCCAGCTGTGTGAAACGCCGATAAAACACCTGTGAAACAGCTGGACGTAACATTTGAAATGATTACAGTATTCCTTTAAATACATAGTACAAAGTTACATAGGACTGTTCACAAACCAACTACCTGAGGGGGAATTCAAGTTGTAATTGACTGCACCTTGTCCTGTCATGTCAAGGTGGTGGGAATGAAAGGGAGATACATTTTTCTAGCAGTTGCTTACATGCTCATCCACAATGGTAAAATACTCCATTTATTTTGCTTTGTCAATGTTGTTTTCACCACTCAATTCAAATTTTTGTTTATAATCATGGATATTCTGTAAACAATTGACAAACTGAATAATAATTTTATTGTAATTATTCACTTGGGTCTTCACTACATTTTAATACAATGATTAAGAAAGCCATAATTTATTGTGGTTTAAAATTGAAACAGTGAATGATTTCTTTTTGGTGAATATTTGGTTGTCTGGTCACACTTCACGATGATTTGATTCGAACGTGTTACTTTCGCTATTATATATATATATATAATTCAACGTTTATATTCTTGTAGGGTTATGAATATCATGTTGCAAGTGGTACTGCAGAATGGATAACAGCTTTATCATTTATAGGCTTTGTTTTATCTCTGGCATGGGAGTTAAAAGACTGTAAACTACACACTGTTAAGGTAAGTAGTCTTCATTTTTCTGAAGAACTGTTTCTTATGAAGCCAATCATGTATATACTGAGGTAATTGTGTTCAATGAGCTGGATGGTTTATTTATGAAGCTTTTACTGCCCTACTAGGCAACACCTTCAGCTAAAGTATAATTATATTTCAATAATTTACACACAATTATAAGTTTTGTTATCGGTAATATTTCCAGTAAATTACTGCCCAGAGACAATGCAAAGAAACCTCAAAAATATCGGCATTCGAACAACGTTTAAACCAACGAATCTAATCAAAAATAAAATAAATCAACTGAAAGACCCCCATAAAAATGATGGATAAAAACAATTTGATTTACAAAATATCTTGTGCTGACTGTCCAACTAAATATGTGGGGCAAACGTCCAGATCACTCAAAATAAGAGTGAATGAACATAAACGCCTAACCAAATTTAAACCAACAGGAACACAAGCTTACAAGAATCTTGGAAAAAATTCATCGATTGCTGCACATGGGACAAAAACCACAATATCGATTGGGACAATGTGTGTATTCTAAAAAACTAACATGAACAAGTGGAAAGAAAAACTTATAACATAATCGATATTCATTAAAGTCACACCGGATACATGTAACAAGGGTGACTCAGTACAACTATCAACAACTTGGAATATAATTCTGAATACAAAGCATGAATGAGCAAAAAAAAATAATGAACTATATATATGAGTACAAATCATAAATGTGTGAACAAAACAATTCCAACAGTGGTGTGAACACGGGCAGTAATTTTACTCGAAATATTACCAATAACAAAACTTATCATTGTGTGTAAACTATTGAAATATAATAATACTTTATTTGATCTAATCTACAATGCTCAAACTTTTAACTGATGTTAACACCTTCAGCGTACACTTCATTTTGAAGTGAGCTTTAAGAATTCTTCACGAGTGTATAAGTTATCTCTCTTGGTGCCCTTTTAGGTGATTGGTTGTTTTTGTGTAGTTTCACATCCTCTAGGCTACTTGTATTGGTATCAATATCAGTACTGCACAACCACCTCTACACTTACGTGTAAATTACCCCTTAATTGCACAACATTCTTCTTTTTACAATATACAATGTCCTTATTTTGGTCTCATTTGTGTCTATGGCATGTAATTCTACTCTTATAAAATGAATTAGTAATTAGTCATTCAAAGCATGACTAAGTTGTGACACTGATCATTTATGCATGTCATTATTCAAGTTGTACGTGGTTGACAAAAATCTTATAAAATAAAATAAATTCACTTCATCTTAACTTGAATATGCTAAAAGGAAGTTACTTTTACTGTAGGTAGTATGAAAAACGTTATAGACATATCTTTATTTTTTATAAACTGCATTCATAAGCTTTAATTTCACATGTTACTGCTTACTAAATGATTCGGATTTTCAATACAAACGTCAAGTCAGTTCTACTATAAGGATCAGAAACTTGGCGGGTGGATCACAAAGAATATTTCCAACAGCCTGTTGCAGACCTTTACTAACAACTGTCTTCATTCTATACTGAAGCTCAGATGGTTGGACCCGAAAGAATCACCAACAAGAAACTATGTCTGTGAACAAACAAAAGAAGAACCAATCGCCAACCAACAAATATGCAGGAGAAAGTGGATATGGATGGATTGGATACTCGTGACTGAGGAGGCCGCTGGGTGACATCGTGCGTCAGGCCATAGCTCGAGTGGAACCCGAAAGGGAAGCGGTGAGTGGGAAGTTCAAGGGTGACTTGGAGGAGGTCGTGTGAAGAGGAGATGAAAGCATGTGAGCAGACTTGGAGCGGGATGAAAAAGTTGGCAGAAAACCGAAGGCAATGGAGACGTGCAGTTGAAGCCCTATGTTTCACTAGGAATTCAAACGAACAATAATAATAATAAATGACTCATATACTGATATAACACTGATGAAAAGAGTAAGCCTTCGTGTCTGCATATTGACTAGTCAAAATGAAAACACCTTTAGCAAAAGTTAGTTATGATTACAAAAGGGACTCGTGGCAACTGATTGAGTTATAATAACACTTTGGAGATTAATCATAAACTGGAGGGTTAACTGTGATTGGGGCAAACATTTTGTGAAGCAGCTGTCTCATCGATCGTTATCTCCATGTATATATCGATGAAACAGAAGTCTAATGAATAGTTTAAAACTACGAGCATCAGTCAGTGACAAATGTCACTGTACCCTCTGAACATTTTCGATCCAGTTTTGTTCGAATATAATTTAATGGTTATTACTGTGAGTGTACAATTTTGGTGAGAGCTGGCTGTTAGTCAAAATCGCTGGACAGTAATTTACGTCAGTGTTGATGTCCTCAATATTGGTCGTGAGAAAAATGAGAGCAAAGGCTTTGCGTAGGCGGATACTGTTAACATATAGATGATCTGACATTCAAAACATAGTCACGAGAGATACAAGGTTAACTTTCTGTGAGAAATAACCAATCAGAAAACTGCGTTTGTCAGCTAACAATAATCTATAATAATGTACATGAAAATCTATAAATATGTGTTGCCTGGCCCTTGTCTTCTGTTGTTACACAATCACCTCTGTTAGAAATAAATTTCGACGAAATCTGAGGTTACATAGGGAATCGATGGAAGCTAATAAGAAAGTATGTATCTGTTTTCTCGAATTCTGTAACTTCTTAACCTACGTCTATTAGAATCCCTACAGAGAATCAAGTCGAACGTGTAACGACGACTGATATAACTTTCACAAAACTTTTTAGTATATTTTGAACAAGGTTTCAGGCGAAACCAGATAAAACTAGTCTACAAGATATTGCCATTATGCTAAGAAACTATTCTCTTCTTGCATCTCAATAACCGATTTGGTGAATATTCACCAGCATATTTAGGAAATAAGTGGACATTAGTTCGCAAAATTAAGTAAACTTGTCAGCACACACATACTGACGACATCTCATGCCTCATGTGTGTGTATTCACGATACAAAATGAAGAAGAAAAGAATAAATTACTCTGTGTGTTTTTAAAGGATATTTGAATAGAATGTTAATTATAAAACCACAAGGGAAGTCATGGTCAGTTTAGTGCCAGGCAGTAGTAATAATAATGAATCCGAATGGCCAACATGGAAAAGTGAATGAATATTCAAGTGTTGGTTTGTTGGGATTTGATTGGTTACAGGATTTTCATCATGAGCTGACATTAGTCAGAGAACCATTGGAAAACCTGGGATTACTGGACAGCTGTTTCGTCCTAGTTTGGGACTCTTCACAGTACACACCCACCGGGATTCGAACCCAGGACCTTCTGGTTACAAGGCGAGCTAGCTCGTATACCATTCAGCCACTGGGACTCGATCCAATGGCCCACGAATTCTGACTTCTGCCGATTCACGACATAGTGCGACCACTAGTCAATGTCTTCGGCGAGTATTTGTCCTTTCTTTGGTGCAGACTGAGTTTTATCAGTCAGGTTTGCAATGTGGCCACCATTCTAGGTAGCTGGACATCACGGTGCACATTGATTTGATGATATTAGATGGCTGGAGGCAATCGGCAAGAAGCCTTGGACCTTGGTTTCGTGCTAGTTGGAACTCATCAGCATGGCGTATCTGCAACCTTGAAGGAACTCATGTCCACTCTGAGATTCGAACCCGCGTCACCCAGTGCTGTAGTCAGAGACGTTACCACTGAGCTATTCGGGCTCGCGATTGAGAGCGAAGACTTCTTCTAATGAAAATCTGCAGCCTCTTAAAACTTCCTTTCGTAACGCTCCGATTAGCAACATATATTTAGACAGAACAAGTACAGGAACTTATCAAACTGGTGTGATGATGAAGGAGAGCATAAAGTACCTTTCGAGTCTGTTTGAATATTTGTCCGTCACAACAAAGTCTAAAACACCTTAGGTATCAGCAGGCGGTTTGGAAGTTTATCCAGTAAATTCAATTTGATCTGTATATCTTAGCCCTAGGTGTATTTTTGTGTGCTACAAATACCTTTCTGCACAGATTAATTTACGAATTAAGGAAAATCGAACAATATTTCCATCTTTAGTTTTCAGCTATTCTCTAGTTGGTTTTAAAACGTGATAAAACACTCTTTTAAGCCTACAACTTGTGTTAAATTATTAGAATAAATTGTGAATCTTATACTAAAACAGCAACGACAGTATCTTTTTTTCAAGTAATGTCCAATTCTCACACTTGTTTATATTTTTTTCCTTCACGTTCCCCAGTGGAACATGGGCTTCAAGCTAGTGGCTTGAAGTTTCTGTAGCAGTGTTTATTTTTACAGGATGAGGTTCCTAGCCTCATGCCCAACCTTTATTCTTTACCAGCATTATTTCTGGCTCAGCGAGGTAAAGGAGTGAGTCGGTGGCCGGGGATCGAACCCTGGACCATGTGCATGGTCGGCAAGTGTCCTAACCGCTATGCCACCGACCCACCTTGTTTATATTAGAATTCATGAATTTATTCATGCTTAAAAGATATTTTACCTAATTTATCCATGTTTTGCATGTGTGATATGTGAGCTTTACAAAGTAAAAAAAACATACGTTTAATACCACTGAATGTCTGTTTTTGTATAGATTGGTCCTCGATGGAACAATGCTCATTGCGATGAGGATATTCTTTCCTAGAATCAATCAGTCAATCGATCGATCAAACATGAGGAAGGCAGACAGTCATCAGCTATGGGCCAAGTTACCTCTATCACATTATGCAAACTTAGTTATCATGTTTTTCTCCTTTCTTTCTCCTCCATTGTCTATAATATTATTAACTGGCGTTTGATTTTATTTATTATCGTTATTTCTTCTCTGTTTTTTTCTTTTATTCAACTCAGACGAATCATAAAGCACAGTAAAGCAATTGATTTCCAATAATTCCATGTATTTACTTTTTTCCACGTTTTCTAATTTCCTCAAGTTATTTTTTATAAGAAGTATTCCGTGTGTGTGTGTGTGTGTTTTTTAAAAATATTCTTGTAAAATGGTTAACTCTGATTTCGAATAATATTTATCATGATACCTATTGTGTGACTTCAGTCATTGATTATTTTCGATTTCGTGAAATAAATAATTTTTTTATTATTTGGTTATTTTAGAGGCGATATTATGAAATAGAATGATCAGTGTGCAATCTTTTCACCTAATCTTTATTATTTTTTTCTGCTCAACGAAATACAAATTTACTGCATATGCAACAAACAATATTGTTTTTTTACAATAAGCACAAAGTCAATTATTCAATAAGCAGCAGAAATGCTTTAAAGTCTTCTGATTAAATTAATCACCGTGGTTGTCTGCATATTTTCAATTTATTCTAGTTAAGTAGATTTAACAGTCTTGAAGGTTAATCGGTTTATCACCAGCTTACTTCCTCACCAACTATCTCAGCTGATAGACTAATTTGCTTACTCATTGAAGCAATGATAGAAACCCCTAGTGGCAATGAATCTAACACAAGTGAAACATGTGTGATAAAACCAAAGACTGTCAAAGGTTAATCTGTTCAGATTTTAACTACCCAATAGAGAGTAGATAAAGAACATCACAGTCACAAATCGTCTACTGACACGAAAGCTCAGTAGTATGTTAGTTTGTTTATCAGATGTATCACACAGTGAGGGAAACAGTATAATTTACTGGATGACGTTTCGAACAAAATTTATTGTTCATAATCATCTCACCAATTATAATCACACGACTTTGAAACTTGAGTTTTATAGTTTTCTTTATCTTCTCCTATTTGTCGTAGGGGTAGAATTTTCTAGGTATCTGGGACAGGTGTTGAATCTTTCCTGTTACACGTATTTGCAGTTGATTCGATAAACGAAGCTTCTGTTATCAATTTCTCGCTCCACCCTGTGACATTAGATTTTAAAACTGTCATCCTATCCCATCCTATTGTATGGTTGTGTGTAACTGCATGTAGTGAGTGCTATAGCTGAACTATTCTCTAGATTTCTTATCTTATCCGGGTCAACCAATCTAGATTTTGCTAGGTTTTTACGTTCGGCTAGTCTGACTGCCCCTGTTCTACTAGCTTGACCTATATATCGGGACTGACCATCATTGCACGGTATTAGATAAACTAAATTGTTTTGTTTTGAAGGCTCCACAGGATCCTTTAACCGACAAAGTGTGTTTCTAATTGAGTTTGTGGGTTTGAATGCCAGCCACTTTTATTCCTACCTTGTTACGAATTACGCACAAGGTTTCCGAGGTTCCTTTCTTGTATGAAATTACTACTGTTGGTTTAGATTCCTTGTTGTCTGTGTTGTCTTGCGCATATTTGACATGCATGTCCTCATTAATATTATTATTATCATTATCACTACTATCATTATTTATTCTACTTTTACATTTCCCTAACACCACAAACCCAATTAGAAACGAGCTTTATTGGTTAAAGCATCAATCCTGTGAAGCCTTTTAAACAAAACAATTTAGTTTATCTAATACCGTGCAATGATGGTCAGTCCCGATATATAGGTCAAGCTAGTAGAACAGGGGCAGTCAGACTAGCCGAACGTAAAAACCTAGCAAAATCTAGATTGGTTGACCCGGATAAGATAAGAAATCTAGAGAATAGTTCAGCTATAGCACTCACTACATGCAGTTACACACAACCATACAATAGGATGGGATAGGATGACAGTTTTAAAATCTAATGTCACAGGGTGGAGCGAGAAATTGATAACAGAAGCTTCGTTTATCGAATCAACTGCAAATACGTGTAACAGGAAAGATTCAACACCTGTCCCAGATACCTAGAAAATTCTACCCCTACGACAAATAGGAGAAGATAAAGAAAACTATAAAACTCAAGTTTCAAAGTCGTGTGATTATAATTGGTGAGATGATTATGAACAATAAATTTTGTTCGAAACGTCATCCAGTAAATTATACTGTTTCCCTCACTGTGTGATACATCTGATGAACAAACTAATATGGAATTACTTACTACCACAGTCCACAAGTTTTACGCAAATATTAAGTTCAGTAGTATGCTTTTTTCTGGATTTTACATTTCTGTGTTCAGTTGAATGTGAGATTGCAATAGCTATGAGTTCAGTTCGATGGATCTGCACCCTCTAGCTTATACAGCTAATGATGAGTAGATTTTAATTACCATCTTCACATTTATGTTTATGCGGTATTTTCATTAGCATTAGTGTTAGCATATTCTATCTGAGCACATATACACCGAAATGTGATTTTAGCTGAATAACGATTGGATTTGTAACAGTGAAAATGTCTACTTTTTATTTCACTAAAATTTACACATTTCACTCAGTTTGTTCATTTTTGATATCATCAGAATGTTGCTAAGAAACCAAACACAAGATAAAGTTACAAAACATGTAAATCTGTGCACAATCGAAGGTGATTGATGTGTTGTGATGAATGCGGTAAGATGAATTTTTTCACATATTTTGCTGCCAGCATTATTCCTGGGCGTTTGGAAGAGACTGAATGAAGACTAAAGATACGAGTAGAAACCTCAGAGTAAGAAAAGCATTCCGTTTGTTGATCTCCTGCTCCGTATGTCTGTTACGTATCTAGTGGAAGAAACACTTAATGAAAACAAGCGAGAATATTCAGTAGTGTTTATAGCTATCATCAGTCATGATCAGGGTTGATCTTGTTAGTTTATCTGTGCAAAAGAGTGTAACAACAGAAGACAAGGGCCAGGCAACAGATCGTTTTATTATGAAAATCAACACGTATTTATACATATTTCAGACAACATTATTATAGACAAGCGCAGTCATCTGATTGGTTGTTTAGGTAGACAAACGCAGGCTTCTGATTGGTTGTTTCGGATTCCTTGACAAACAGAGTTCTCTATCTGCGAATCATATTTTGCCACGTTAACTTCGCTGTGATTGGTTGTTGACTCAGCCTTGTTCACGGCCCATATTAGTGACCTAGACCTTAACGTAGATTAGTGCCAACCAATCGGCTAGCAGCCTGCTCTCACCACACTAGTACTCTATGGTTACAGCTGTGTCGAGGAAATGTAACCTTCAATTTTGATTCAAATTAAAACATACGGATAAAGCGACCTCGGGTGCATATAAAACTTGATAAACGTATTTTCATAAGACACCATGTAGCATGACTGTTTGTAGAACAATTTTTTTGCATTGAGTCCGATAAATTCGCAATCATAATAAGGGGATAAGTTTTATGAATACAATGCTGACGCTATTTGCATACAATATATGCCTCTGAAAAGCTACTCATCCCCTACGTATATATATACCACTTCGTCCTTCACTCACTATCAGTGATGATCACTTTATGTAAATTAAACAATTGAGGATCCAAGGAGCTACCTGTTAAGCATAGTAAATGGAATCATTTAAATAACCGAAGGTTATTCATAAACTGGACAGTTGATTTACGTACACGAACCACTTTTTAAACGCTGTTGCTCAAGTCTTATATGTAACCGAAAAGGTCACCCCTTGAATGTTCCGACATATTATTGGCAAACAAATATTTTTATGCAAGATTTGTAATTCTGATCATAGCTGATTATGAAGTAGACAATTAAAATTCATAAATAAATTGAAGCATCCCGAAAATGTTTGTCATTTGGATTTCATTTCTTGAACTGAGGAACACTTAACTCACTGGGGGAAAAAGAACACCTGAAAGTTGGATATTTAGATAAAAAATAACGGAAATTTGTTAAATATTCGATTTACTTAAACAGTAGTTTAAACAGCCTACAAATTTAGCGTTAACCATAAAGCGATTTGTCTACCGTGTACGGTTATTCTTTATACCCTGGGAAAGAGATTTTCCCAGAAGTACGAACCTTCGCCACTCAATAATACAGCTGGAGACGCTACTATTGTTACGAGTACCAGTCTATACCCGTTAAGATTTCAGTGGATGAAGTGATCAGTCAGTAGCAAGTAACCAGTATCATGAGTCCAGTTCTGACTCAGTTCTTCTTGACAAGTCGCACCAAGCCCAAAATCTAAATCTAGTGCAATAAGTTTTACCGAAACCACTGCTACTTGTTTCTTTCAAGTAAACAATAAGAAAACTTCCATCTTAAACTTTGGGAAAAATTGATTTCGTTGACAAAAATTAAAAATATTTCATTATGACATTTAACTACTTTTAAATCACTCAGTAGCCAAGTTAAATAAACGTATTTACCAGAATGTGAGGCATTCATGACAAAACAGTGAGTATCCTGCCACCTTAATTAATGAAAATGTTCCATGAAACCTTAATTTTAAGGAAGCACGGTACTAATTCGCGAGATTTTAACCACATATTATATACGAATAACCACAAAATAAAAGAAGATAGTGTGTGATTGAGATGAAATGGACAAGAGACTAAGACCGCCTACATAAAAATAAAGAACTTTGTAGACGATAACGAAATACACAAATAAGATTGAAGTTTTCATGAAATCTGCGTGAATGCAAGAATCATGAATCTTTGGCCATAGAAGATGAATTATCCAGTGTAGACGATTAAAACTGTACAATTACATCACTTGTTTCTATGTTGCATCATAATATCGACCTTGAACAATGATTCATAGAAGCAGTAGATTTATGATATTTGATTAACAAATTTGATTTGTAGCATAGAATCTTCAAGATCTCTGATTGAGCGCATTGATATAAGTGTCATACATTAGATCATACTGTGTCGGTTTCTGCTTCTAATCAAATATTAAGCAAAGTCATTGTTGATAGAGAAGATTTGTAGCTCAGGTGGATGATTTTAATGTGGTTGTGTTCTCTGAGCTGGATGGTTAATTTGCGAAGCTTTCATCACCCTACTAGGTGACACCTTCAACGCATACTTCAATTTGAAGTGAGCTTTAGATTTCTCCACGAGTTTATTATAGCATGTGTATTAAACAATGAGATTTTTATTTTACCGATTGTTTCCTATTTCCGGGTTATTCATTTTTAATCTTCACGAAACTTTCACCGGGAAGATACTTGTGGTGATTGACAATTTCTATCTCTGTATTGTTTGCGTCGGTGGTATAGAGGTTAAGACGCTCGCCGACTATGCATATGGTTCGGGGTTCGACCCACGGCCGGCGACACACTCATTTACCTCACTGAGATAGAAATAATGCTGGTAAAGAGGAAAGGCTGGGCATGAGCTTAGGAACACAATCCTGTAAAAATTAAACACTGCTACAGAAACTTC